ATTCCTGCTTTTGCACAGCGACAACCTGGACAAACCAAACAATCTGCATGCAACACGGATAAAGGGTGCCAGAACTTCCATTTATATTGAGCACCTCCTGTAGTTACAGAAACACCCTCAGTAGAACAAACACAGGAACTTTTAGGTAGGCTGAGCCCCTTCTCAAGTTCCAGTGGCTCCGTTCAAAGCTGACATCTCGGGAAAGGATACTGGAAAGGCCACTGGCACTCTTCCCAATGGAGGGTGTTCCAGTTCTTTGTAAGGACTTCCTTGTCGGATCTTGAACACACAGCACCCAGAGTTACAGGGTTTTGACACTAGTGCAAATTGTGCTAACTCATTTTGTGTTCTGTTTGGCCCGTTGTGGTTTTTTTGCTAATGACTTGAGCTGATCAGCTCCTCGGTTCTGTAAATTTTTACTCTCTGTACACAATCCATCATGTCAGCGGAAATCTTCTCATGTTGGGATCAGGCTGATGGGTTGATTGCCCTTGCTCAGAGCAGGCTACAGAAGCAGCTACAGCTCTCCCTAGGGCTGCATCTCTTAGCAGCCTACTTTGTAGAGATCATTGGGCCACAGACTACAGGGCAGTACAGCCATTCCTCTATCCTGTGCTCCCCATTTCTTCCTGTCCACTAGTACTCTGGACCCCCAGATGGTGACCACAGAGCTCATGGTGCCACCAACTCCTGGGTCCTGAATGTGCATAAATAGTGTACAGCATAAATAGTGTAAGGACTTAAGGTCCCACCCTGTGAGAAGGCTATACTCAAGTACCTGAGTGCATTTCTCATGGCTTCCTTTCATCCAGATGGTTGAAATCCTTCTCCATTACACTGATCGAACTTTGAAGAAGTGTCCCGACCAGGGAAAAATCCAAGTGATGGAACAACATTTTCAGGTACAGTGCCTGACCTGGCTCTTTGATATTTGTGATCAAGTTGTTGCTTTTTCTTTTAATGGTTTTGATTTATATAAAACTGCTTTTAAAAGCTCCTTGAGAAGCATCTTGAGCAGTGAACTGTATTGTGTGTGTTAAGATGAGTATTAGGTACTAATTACTAGCAGTCAGTTGATAGTTGTCATTGGTGTCATTGCATTAGACATTGGTGAAATTCCCTTTTGTGCTTTATCACAGCCTGAGGAGAAATTCTCTCCAAGCCAGCGCCATGTGGAGCTTGAGTGCCATGCTTCCCAGTTTGTGTGACTGGTTTTAAAATACTCAAAGAGCAGAAAGGCTCTTCCAGGAGACAGCCTGTGCCTACCATCTGAGCAGGAAATGACATTATGACCAATAAATGGTTCATATTTCTAATTTATGTTTATAGAGGAAGTGTAAGGTCTTCACTAGGTGTCTGTAGAGCAGTTGTTGCCTCCTTCAGGAGGCTCGTTCAGCACTTTTAAATATTGTTCATGTTAGTTCTTTGATGGAGTTGAGCCTCTCTGAGCAATGGCCTGACAAAGTCCAGCAAGGCTAGAAGGGTGAAGTTTAAAAATGTCAAGTCAGGTAGTATCCATAGGATGAGTTTGTTTGGCATTCTGGATGCCAGCTGAAAAGGTGTAAGGGTTTGTCATGATGGAATAAGCTACTGTGTGATTGTGTTTTTTTGCTAGGGGAGTGAGGGCCATGATAGCTTGGCACATTATGGGGAGCATAATGACCTTTTTGAGCTCCGGTACCAATATATCTGGCGTGTCAGAGGGGGCTTTCCAAGGCCAGCACTCTCTCAAAGAAATGGTCATTTGCTCTTCAGTTCAGGTTTTGGAGTTGCTCTTGAGCTCAGGCTTAGGAGAGGGGTAGATTTTATCCCTGCAGCTGGGAGAATCATAGGGGTGTATTTAATATTCCAAATCCTGTAATCATTCTGCCAGGCTCCTTCTAAGGGTCAGGAGGTAGGGAGATTAGCTGCCTCAGATTTTCCCCGGTGCCGGAGTTATCATTCTTGTTAGATGAGGCTCCAAACATTTTGGAAAATGCCTCAGAAATGAACGCTTGTTCCTGAGAGACCAAGCTATTTTCTGAAAATCCGCTGCCAAGTGAATCCAAGCCAAGCTTACTGGCTGCTGTGTGGGTTTTCTTATTCTCCCTTCTTCCAAGAGAGCTCAAATCTGTTGCCTTCTGTGGCCTATACTAAACCCATCTGTTCAGTCAGGGTTTTGCTGCTGGGTGGTGGACAAGCATGTTTGTTTCAGGTTTTTTACTACTAGTTTGGGGTAAATCTGCCTCTATTTGAGATCAGCCAACCAGCCTTTCAAAAAAGTATGTGCATGTGTGGGGTTTTTTTTTTTTCTTCAGATGGAAACACCCTGAGCCAAAATAAAGCCAAACCCTATGTTATTTCACCATTAACACTTAAAACTAACTTCTTGTCCTAGGCACTGTCCTTACCAACTATTAGGAGATTGTTAAAACCCCTAAAATGTCCTTATTCTGTGGCTTCACTGTTAGTTATTTAATGTGCTAGCTATTGGTTTCATAGAATCCTAGGGGTTCAACCCAGAACGACTGCACTGTTAAGATGTGTGTGGACCTCTTCTATGTCATTAGTTATAATTGGGTTTCAATTACTGAATTCCTGATTTGATTACCTTTATAGCTCAGGGGTCAGCAACCTATGGCCTGGCCTGTGGGCATGGGGCTTCAGATGCTGGATTGCTTAAGTGCAGGTGCGTGGGCATGTGCTAGCTGTGCTCTAGCACCCAGGCACCACTAGTGCTTTCCCCAGTGGTGGCACTGGGAGAGTGTCTGCAATCGGTGCTTTTCCCCTGTGGCTGCGGGGGGATTTGGCAGCAGTCATTTTCCCTTGTGGGGATGAGCGCCAGCTGTGGACACTCTCCCTCTGCACTGGCCCAGGGCTTAGTCCAACCTGTGGCCTGAAAAGGTTGCCAACCTCTGTTCTAGGTTTTCAGTGTGCTGGCGCACTGCAGCAACTCCTTGTTTACACTGTGTGGAGCGAATGTGTGGCTCACCAGCCCTCTTCAGAGGTGGGTGGCCCAGGGGATCAAAAAATGGTCTGACCTTGAGTTTGCTTGCAGGTACCTTGGTCTGGGAAACCTATGACACTTTCTATTGCAGTGACAAAAATGCAACGACCATTGGTGTGCTGCCTCTCTCCCACACACTTCACCTTACTGTCGGACACTCAGACTGGAGGGTGAGCCTGTAGCAGCCCTAGAGGACATCCCCTACAGCATGTGGTAGAGGGGCTTGTGAGGAGTTGAGTTGTCAACTGCAGTAGAAGGGAGGAGAGAACCCTCCTGTCTAGGCAACAAAGAGAATAGAAAAATGAAAGCGTTTTCCAGCAGCCTAGAAACCTGGGGGATACTTCCTGCTCCTACCCCTTCACCACAGCTTTAAAAGGTGAAGTTAGTAGTGCTCCATCTCATTTACCACGGGATGCTTGTAAAGGTTTTGAAACTGCAGCTTGCAGCAGGCGAGACGAGTTCTGTGCTCACGTAGCTGCCAGTGCCCTCGCTCTCCCTTCCCCGTTCTGCAGTTGTGCTGCATCCACATGGTGAGTATTGTCCAAAGAGAAATCGTCTGGGTGTTATCCAGCGTGATGAGGCCCTGATCTTCACAGAGCTTTTTAGCACTGTCGTACTGCTGATAAACAACTAATAAACAATTTGGGAAGTCTGGTGCTTTGTTTGGAGCTGGACTGTGGTAGAACATTTTTTTTTTTTTTTCATTCAGGCAAAGAACTAAACACACGAGCTGTCTGTTTTGTGTGAATAAATTGCTGATCCGGTACCATTTCCCTTATTTGCTCTGTTTGATACTCTTGCCATTCAAGAGTACCTTGTGCCGAACTGTCTGATGCTTTCTTTGTGATCCTTCCCTAGGACATGGTGCCCGTCATAGTCGAGTACTGCCTCTTACTTCAGCGCACGTAAGTGGCAAGCCTGCTTGCCTGTCTTCAGGTTAATAGAGCCATAAGGATTGCTGCTGCAGACCACCCCAGTGGCCCCTTTTGGTCCTGCATATGGCCTTTCATGATACTGTAGTCATGCTTTTCTAGGAGGTGAAAAACGCCTCATAACTGGCCATTGTATAATAACTTGTTGAAACTGAAAAGTTTCTTTTAAACCCTCAGTTATGCTGAATTAGGACAGCTTCTGCGTTTTAACTCTGCCTAATCTAACTGGATTTTCTTATTATCCTTGTAAGTGGTCCAGCTGTCCATGAATTACAGCAGTAAACTTGTATCTGATCTGGGCTCAGCAGGTTTTTATGGTGGATGAATCCCTATAGTAACTCACACCTTTGTTCTAGATTTTTTTTTTCCTTGTATCCCCGTGAAATGGATTCAACAGGCTTTTCTTTTATGACTGTTGCATTTCCCTGTCACTGTCCAGTCCATTGAGCAAACAGCTACCCTACCTAAAATATATATTCACTTTTAAACCCATTGGGTGAATTATTGAACCATAGTTTCAGTCTAATATAAGGGCAAGAGAATGATGCCTTCTTCCCTTTTCTAGTGAATCAGCTCTGGCCTGCTGCTTACTTAGTTCTACAGCTGGGAGAGTCAGATAGGATATTGCTGGAAAAGAGGTTCTGGGTTGTCTTCTGCTTCCTGTAAAATTGATGGGTTATTTCTATATATGGGTTTGTCAACAAACCAGGGTTACCTGGCTTTAACTAGACGAGCTTAGCTAGAGAAACTGCCTGCTGGGATGGGCTCTGGTGTGGCAGTATTCAGATGTTTACACTAGCTGAGTTTATTCCTTTTGGAAAGGGAAATAAGCTATACCACTATACCTGCGTCCTCATTAGTTACACTGGCACACCTCAGATTTTGGTTCAAAAAGAATAACCTTTCACCACTGACATACCCCTCTACAAAAACTGCATGGACCCTAGTACCTCTCTGCCTGATTTCAGAAGCTACTGTTATCTAATTAACTTGACTTCATGCTCTTTTTTTTGCAGGAAACTTTCCAGTTTCCCTTCTAAAAACTACAGCCTCATTAACTAACAACTATGAAGAAGCTAAACTATGCCTGCATGGGGGTAGCCCTTGTTAAGCTAAGGAATGCCAAATATTGTGAGGTTTTTTTGGATGACATGATCATCAGGCAGTTAAACCATTTCATGGATCTTTCATTTTTATGGGTTGTTGAGCATTTGTCACTTTTTTTTTTTTCTTGTTAGGGATCTTTTATTCAGCCAGGTGTATGACAAGATGAGTGAGAATTCTGTGGCCAAAGGGGTTTTCCTGGAGTGCCTGGAGCCATACATTTTAAGTGGCAAGCTGATCGGAATGACAGCTCAAGTGATGAAAGACTTGCTGCTTCACTTCCAAGATAGGAACCTGTTGGAGAACATGGAGGCCTGCATTGTGCACATGGATATCACCAGCCTCGACATACAGCAGGTGAACCTCTCCAGGAAAATACTTCCTGGAATTTCCTCTGAGCAAGAGAGAGCTGTTATTTAAGGCAGCATCCTTCACACCAACTTAAAAGGTCAAGCCGGACATGTTGTTCAAGTGAAACTACACCCCACACCCTTCATTGTCAAACCAGCTTCATAAAATGTCTCTAAGTGTGTGGTGTTTAGGCTGGGGCCACTTGTGCCCTCAAGAGTGACTGTATTGAAAATATATGATTGATTGATTGATTGTGAAATGAAGCTATGCTCTGTGCACAGCATCATCTAGTTTTTCGGCCAGAGCATTAGGAATTGGGCCTCTGAGGAGTAAATAGGGAGGCATGGCTTCCCTGCATCCTGGTATGAACTGGAAGCCCTCTAACAGCTACTGTCTCTTCTTAGCAGCTCACTCTGGCCAGGTCTTCTGTTGCATGGTGGGTAGGGAAAAGATAGCATGAGGCACCAAGGGGCAAAACAGTTATGCTAGTTGAAAACAGGATGGGAGCTTACTGCAGTTGAATTGGTTATAATGGTTTTTTTTATCTGTCCTGTAAGTGAAGCTAAACTACAGTATACCACCGGTTTCATTTGAGGGAAATTATTGTAGTTCAGCTTAATTTACTCTGGAATAGGAGCAGACAGACAAAATGGTTACAGCTACATTACAGTATAGCTATAGGCACACTTTAGTAGTAGTATAATAGTTAATCTCTCTACATCCTCTGGCTGTTCCATTGCCTTTTTCTCTGTTGAGCAGCGAGAGTCCCACAGAGAGCAGAGTAGGAGCTTGGCTGGGTTGGCATGAATCTAAGGGGCTCCATAGCAAAGGGTGGCTTCCCTCCTTTACCCACAGCCTCCAGGAGAAGCCAGTAGAGGGCATAAGAGGAGAAGCTAAGTGCCAACACTAGTCGTTGCCACTCAGTTCTCTGCCCTGGCACAGGCTGGATCTTGGTCTGCCCTCCATGCTGACTAGCTGGGTGCCAACAGTTTGGTGAGAGAGTTCACCAACCCAACATGAAGAGTGTCTTTTAGAGGAGATTTGACCTCTCATCCCCTTGCTCCAGATTTCAGGACTGTTGAGAGAGGACCTGGATTCCTCTTTCCAGAACCACAGCCAGAGCAAGGATGCTCTAATTTCATGTGGGCTGTCAGCAGTGAGCCAGGCACTTGCTTCCAGGGGTTGGAATTCTGCAAGAGTCAACTCCTGCCTTTGGAAAAAAGACTTTTTCCTGCATTTGGGTAGGGTAAACTCTAAGCACAGACCTTTCTCTTAGGGGTACAGGAGGAGAAACTGGAAGGCTGCTGAAAGCTGTTAAGCTCTGCTGCTCAAGGAATCTCTAAATCTGCTTTATTCACCCATAGGTAGTTCTTCTTTGCTGGGAAAATCATCTCTATGATGCCATGATCTATGTCTATAACAGTGGAATGAATGACTTCCTTAGTCCAATGGAGGTAAGAAGGCTATGTGTGGTCCCCAACACTGCTTTTTAACTCTTCCCCTCTCCCCTTTTGCTTCTCCTGCCACCATTCCACCAGACACAAGTGCTGTCTACACATCCAACCTTTTTTTGAATTCCACTGAAGTATTTGTGGAGTCAGTGCTTGACCTTGTCTGTGGCTTGGTATGTCCAGCCCTGGTGTAGTATGTGTTCTCTAAGTCGGCAAATATTGCCTGTTCCTTATATTTTGAGCAAGGTAACTTTCTGCATCTCAAATCTAAGCATATCTAGTAGTGTCCAAGAGGTGCTTGGTCTCAGTGTGCTTAAATCCTGCCATGACTTTTAAAACAAGCAAATGGATTCAAATGAAAAATGTAGAAGAAATGTGACATTGGGAGATGGGTTGAAGGTTGTAGTATGAACTGCTTTGTAGCCTGGTTGCTAATGGCCGTGCTGCTGATGGTGTTAGTGTACCCTACATCACACCTTGCATTTTTGCACAATGGGGCTTCCATATGTGCGGGAATGTGAGTTTGCCCCTCTCTTTGAACCCCACACCATACAAGGTTCTTTTGTCTTCTGGGTTCCCTGCTCTCTTTGTTATCTCCAGTGTGAATGCATCCATATACAGAATCATACAGAACTGGAATAGGAGCAGCCTCTGCCTGGTAGCAAGATTTATTTCCAGTGCCGGGCATATGACCCAGTATTGATACAGCATGAAGCCATTATGGTACATGCTACTGTTGGCATCTGTTGTATCCAGACCTGATAGTGAGTGCTGTTCAGAGAGAATACTTCAGATCTCAGTGTGCTTATTATAAAGGCTTCGGTAGTGCCTACAAAATGATGGTGAAATTTGTAGTTACAGTGAGCATTATATCCTTTTGTGTGTGTAAAATCTGTCATCCAATTTATAACACTTCAGCTTGGAGTTAATTTTCTGTGAAATTACAAGTGAATCCTGGCTAACTTAGGAGGTGGTAAAAGAGGATGCTTGTAAAAGAGGATGCTTTGAATTCTAGACTGTCTAAAGTTTTCTTTGCTTCTGTTTCACTAACTGGCTTGCTTGTTAAGAGCTCACAGATTAGGCCCATGTAGCTGTAGAAACTCCCACAGGAGAGGATGGCTTTAGCACTGGAGATTTTCAAAGCAGTGGAGGGGGGGTCAACCATTAATTTTACTGGAAGACATGGCAGGCACTGCCTTGGGAATCTCAGCTTGCATTTCAGCATTATTCATTAGAATGGTTTCTCTCGAAGCTGGTGGATAATGGCTTTATAAGCAATGCATCCTGTGACCCGGTAAGTGGATTGTTCAAACATACAGTGCTCTACTGCCTTCCCCATCTGCACAGCCACGGTTCCTCACCAGCCCCTCAACCTCCATTGCCTACATCCCACTGACTTATACCAATGTCTTCATGTCCCCATTTGACAAACCTCTACAGCTCCTTGTGGGCAAATCCCAGTTAGTTTCTCAAGCAGCCCAAAGCCCTTGCTGGTGGAATTGCAAACAGTGCTTTCCAAAGCAAGAAGGTTCTTTTGCTCTCTGTCCAGGACACGGGTGCTGGAGAAGGGTGCTACGGGTGACTTGTGTCTGATCACCCCAAGAAGATGAGGTATGGTGGTTTCCTTGAGGCACATTTTGTGGCTGCTTGAACTTTTACTGTGTGTAGAGTGCAGAGCAACACAGATCTAACAAACTCAAGTGGGTTCTTGGTTTGGGGCTTGTTCTACTGAGTCTGGCTGGTGGTTGGGAGATTTGTAGGGGTCGGAGGAGAAACAGCGAGGTCGAGTAGGCGTCAGGAGTAGGGGAACAGAGCAGGTCAGTGGTGGTTTCTCCTGCTGTAAAACTTGGGGAGAAACTAGAGCTTGCCCTCCACTTGGAGGTGTCTCCCCAAGAAATACAAGTTATAAAACATAAGTTATAAAAGGCATAGTCACAGGGGTGAATCCAGGTGGGATGCTGTTGCACCTCTCTTTGATTTCTGCTCCACCCAAAGTTTAATACGAACTGCCTAGCAGTGGCAACAGCATTTCTGTCCAGGCAGCAGTGAGGGAATCACTGGATTTCATGGCTCATGATAATCTACCTGGTTCCTTCTAAACTTTCATTCCCCAGGTGTTAACACCCCCTGTCCTTTTTTTTTAATGGTCTTCATGTTCCATAATCAGGCTGTCTTTTCTTTTGCAGTTCTACTGTCTGTTAGCTGCCCCAGATAATGTAGCTCCCTTTTCACAGCCCTGCACACTGTTTTTAACTAGCTAAAAGTATAAACTCAAGTTAATGCAGGTGAACATCAACTCAGGTGTGGAAATGACTTTCAGTGAAGCATTCGATGTACTGTCAGCATGCTCAAGAAGGCTAGATTTTCTTTTAAGAATCTGCAAGAGATGTGGATGTAATTCTAATGACAGCAGGACTAAAAAAAATCTTTTTATTTTTGTATAGTTTCTTGTGAGTTATTTTAATACATAATATATGATATAGCAAATTAGTTCACATTCCAGTAAAGTTATATTTGTTTTTGCTTTGATTTTAAACTGTAGCCGTAGGCATCTAACATGTTAGTAAAGCTAGTTTCTATTTACCTGGATAAAAATGTGTGTTGTGTTTTATATATGGTGAGGCATCACACCATCTGCACCCCCCTTTTCCAAAATCCTACATCCACCCATGGTTAGAAGGCAGGGCAGATTTGAATCTAGAATAACCACTTCATCAAGTGTATATGTGCGCGCGCGCGCATGCACACACATTATAAGGTGCAAATCACCCTGTCTTTACATAAGCACTGGACTGTTATGAAGCAATGAAGATTCACCAGACAAAGCTTCTTTCTGATGGGCCTGGGAGGTCCATTTGATGAAGCTACTCTGGTAAGATCATAGCATGATTGTTGGATAGAGAAAATGCCTAGCTAACATTAACAGGCAAGGTTCTTTGGGTAAATGGGATATCTTTTATTAGACCAACTGAATAGTTGGAAAAATTGTTCTTTACAAGCTTTTGGGCACAGGCTTGTAAAGAACAATCTAACATGAAGATGTTTGGGCACCTTTCCCTTTCATGCCCTCTCCTGTTGTAAAACTTGGGGAGAAACTAGTTTGCCCTCTCTTGGGGAGACACCTCCAAGTGATACAAGTTGTAAAATGGCATTGCCTTGTTCTCATTGATCTGATACTGAGATTTTTTTTCTTTCCAATGATGTTTCAGAGGTTGTTCAAAGTCATCGCTCCTCCACTGAGTGCTGGGAAGTCTCTCACAGGTACTGAATACTTTCTTTTAAGGACTTGTGACTTTGATACTGTTGGACATTTCTAGTACTTTTTGTCATCTTAAACCTATCTATTCCTTGATAACTTCTAACATAGGGAGGTGAGAGGGGAAAATGGTGTCACAGTTCGAGATTTCAGACTTAGGATGTATTTCCAATCTGTTCAGGGTTGCCTGCCTGCCTGCCATTTCTAGATTGTTCAAGCAACTAACTTTCTAGTACAAGCAGTCTGCAAAGATCATTTTTTTTTCCATGTGCCATAATTTTTATATAGAAGACTGTACTCTAAGATCACTTTTATTGCGGATAAAATTATATACTCAGGCAAATGAGATTTCTCTCCATCTTCTGTAAGCAAAGATTAGACATTGTTATGATTAGCTGTTGGGAGAAAAAGTGATTGGTGGCTTTTTATGTTTTTTAGATGAGCAGGTCGTGATGGGCAACAAGCTTCTAGTTTATATAAGGTAAGAGACTTTCAGAATGTATATGGGTAGCATGGTGGCATTTAGTGGGCTGCATGTCACGTGTTTACGTTGTTATGGAGGTACTAATCCTCCTGACACCTCTGTAACATGCAGCTGGTGGAATTTTGTGTCTGTCTTGCGTTTGACTACGTGATCCTAGTGATCATGGCTGTCCATTCACTCCATGAAAAAGAGTGCTATCTTCCTTATGCCACTAGTTTAACGTAGGCAGAAGTGCAGTGACTCATGGTTTCACATCCTCCAAGTTGCATAGTGGGATTTAAAATTCTGGTGTTTCTGACTCTTCCTTCTGCTTATCTCAGGCTGGAAACAGATGTTGCCTTTGTGTCACTGTAAATGTTTCTTTGGTGGTACAAAGGCCAAGCAGATGGACATCCTTGTCCCTTGTTGTTCCACAGATGCCCAAAATGTGGTGATGACAATAGATGTTTAGATTCATAGATGTTTGTAGCTGGAAGGGACCTCACAAGGTTGTCAGGTCCAGCCCCCTTGTGTTTGGGCAGAAAAAACTACCTGGGGTCAGATGACACCAGCAGTATACACTTGTGCTGCTGTTTAGCAGCAGATGTGTGTTTGCTTTATGGCAGGAGAACATGGGCAGCCTGGAGCTGACTGCACTCTCCTGTTACCCTGGGCAGGTGCTCCTGGGGCTTCAAGGGCCTGTTCCTAGGGTGCACAGAGTCCTCTATTTGCAGAGGTGTGTCCTGGGATCTCCAGCAGGGTTTTCCTTGGGCACATATCTGCATGTGGGGTTCCCCTGTTTGCAGCTATCCTACAGGAACGGACCCTGGGAGTGGCAGGTGCTCAACCCTGTGGGTCAACAGGTGACAGCTGTGTTATTGCATCTTGTTATCTATGACAAGTCCTGGCACAGTTGATCCGCTTCATTTGACAATGCCTGTTTATAGCCTCACAAGGCCATAGGAGAAGCATTTGTACTATCTTCAGTGTGTTGTATTAGAGCAGTAGTTTTCAACCTTTTTTTTCATTTGCGGGCCCCTTTGGAAATTTTGAATGGAGATGTAGACCCCTTTGAATTGTAAGTGTGGGTATTCACATACTTTTGATTGATCATAGTAATCTTTCGTAGGCCCCTTAGATATAGTCTGTGGACCTTTAGGGGTCTGCGGACCACAGGTTGAAAACCCCTGTATTAGAGGCTTGGTCCCAGTGTCCCTTCAGCAGTATCCAGAGCAGAGTGGTCCACCTGCTGTAGGACTGCATAGCTCAGAAATCCATATTTTATCTCTTGAGCTATCACTCCAGGAAGATGCTATGATCTAAGTGCAGCTTGTTGGAGTCCACTTTTGTGCATCCTTCTCAGTTGTCAGTCATTTGTATGGGACTGTCATCATTGTGAGACTGTGGAGTGGTGGCTAATGATCTATTCCATCCTTGGGAAATCTGAGCAAACCAAATCCAAGACTGTGGCATCTCTAAGGCAATCCAGTGCTCTCCCAGTGCTGTTTTGAGGAACTGCAAGTTTTCTACCTCCTGCTTCTGATGCTGTGTAGCTGGTGCTTCTTGTTGTGTTCAGTGCACAGGGATTTCTGTGGGATGACAACACTGCTGTCCAAGATGCAGGCTTAGCCATTTGCTGATGCTTTGAGATAAAGATTTTTTTAAAATTTGTACAGAACAGTAGGCACTTCAGAAGAGACTGTGTTGCTGTTCACGTGCTTCAGGACCTGGGGGTGCTTTGGCAGTGTTTTGCTTGTAACCCTGGCTTCTGTGCTTCCCCACAGCTGCTGTTTGGCAGGTCGTGCTTACCCGTTGGGTGATATTCCTGAAGATCTGGTTCCCTTGGTTAAAAACCAGGTGAGGACACTCACTCTAATGGCTGTTTGGTGTAAGACAATAAAGTGATTCCTTTACCTCTTTTTGCACTGGATAGGCTTGTGATAGAAAACTGCTGCAGCTAGGGGCCCTGCAGTCCTCTGATCCCATAACACTCTCTCTTCTGATCTCCGTAAAGTGGTGTGAGCAAAACTAGCACTGAGCTTTAATATTTGCTCCTCCCTTGTGGGGTAAGTGGTTAAATACATGCAGTTGTTCCTGCATCAATTTCTAAGCAGACTTTGGAAACTATGGGCAGTATGGTATCTGTAATGGTGGCAGAAAGAACCAGGGAGCAGGCAGGCCTGTTCTGGAGAAGGCCCAGCCTACAAATGAATAAGACCTGCTAATTAGGATGGAATCACAGCTGGGATGTTTGGGAGAGCTCCCAGAAGGGGAGAGGAGAGTCATGGGAGGGGAGGTGAAGGAACTATTACTGTAGCCTGACTGCATCTTATGAGCTCTAATGAGAATCCATTTGAACCTCTCAGAGTAGTGCCCCCATTCTTGCACTGTCTATGCATCAGAAGGATCCCTGACCTGTGGATTTTTGTTCCTGAGCTACAAGACAAATAAGTTTGCGTGTGCCAATCTTGCCATCGTTGTAAAAATTAGGTTCTGTTCCTAATTAAGTAAAAAACTGATCTGCTGACTTAGGGCTTTTGCTACAAAAACAATTAAGGAGTTTAGTACAGTTTGGGAGAACTTGGGGAAAGCTGAGGCCTGTAGAAACTTGTCTCCAAAAAAAATATGGCAGAAGGACAGTTGTCTTCTGAAGTTGGTGCTGCACTGTCCACAAGGGGAATAGCCATCTCTTAGGCTGAAAGGCTAAGGCTCCCCCTCCTTAGATAGGCTGTTGTTGCTTTGTATTCCCCATATCAGTATTCAGTTTGAGGTAGAGAGGGAGCAAGTGACTTGGGATTTGATTTTTTATTTTATTTTTTTTGTAAACGCCATACATCTGTATGTGTATCTGTGTACACAGCATTGACTCCTTCAGGTATCCAAAGAAGACCTTTCTTTGCCACTTATTTAGCTTGAAAGACACAGATGTCAACAGCCTTTCTGACGTCCCCTCCCCACCCTGCCCTAATTCTGACTGACTTCTGACTGGTCAAGAAACTTCCATGTCAGATGTTGTCTAGCTCTAAATGCTGTTTGCTTGGCATCTTGTTGGGGTCAGAGCCACAAGGCAGAAAATCCAGTTTTTTTTCTGAAGATCTATTGTGAAATGACCTGACCTAGTTATGCATGTTTATCTGCTGAGCTCTTATATCTATTGTGTCAGGCCAGGCCTCTCTTGGTCTGGTACATGTAAATCAGTACAGTCTGCTCCATGATTGGGTTGTCAGCAACTAAACCAGCGCCCCCACATCTGCTAGCCTGGGTGAGGAGGACATGTGGACACCCAACAGGACTAAAAACAAGACCTGTCAAAGGGCAGATGAGCTCCCTTCGAGCCAATGGCCATCCATACCTGGAGAAGAGATGGGTGCCACCAGGTCACTGCCCGAAGAATCACCAATGATGCAAAGGAACTCAACTAACCTAGGGTTCATATATTCATAGATGCTAGGGTTGGAAGGGACCTCAACAGATCAAGTCTGACCCCCTGCCTGGGCAGGAAAGAGTGCTGGGGTCAGATGCCTATCCAGCCTTCTCTTAAAGACCCCCAAGGTAGGGGAGAGCACCACCTCCCTTGGACGCCCATTCCAAATTTTGACCACCCTTACTGTGAAGATTTTCCTGTTGTCTAGTGTAAATCTACTCTGTCAGTTTGTGACCACTCTTCCTTGTTACCCCAAGAGGTGCCCTGGTGAACAGAGCATCTCCAATCCCTTGCTGCATCCCCCTAATGAATTTTTAGGTGGCCACAAGATCACTTCTCAGCCTTCTCTTGTGAAGGCTGAAGAGGTCCAGGTTCCTTAGTCTCTCCTCATAGGGCTTGTCCTGTAGGCCCCATACGATATGAGTGGTCCTTCTCTGGACCCTCTCGAGGCTATCCACATCCTTCTTAAAGCATGGTGCTCAAAACTGGACGCAGTACTCCAACTGCAGTCTGACCAATGCCACATAGAAGGGAAGTACCACCTCCTTGGATCTATTTGTCATGCATCTGCTGATGCATGATAAAGTGCGGTTAACTTTGCTGATGATTTCATCACACTGATGACTCATGTTCATCTTGGAGTCCGCTATGACTCCGAGATCCCTCTTCGCTACTGTGCTGCTGAGAGGGTCATTTCCCAGCCAGTAGGTGTGCTGGATATTTTTACGTCCTAGGTGCAGCAGTCTGTATTTGTCCTTGCTGAACTGCATCCTATTGTGTTCTGCCCACTTTTCCAACCTGCCCAGGTCTGCCTGCAATAGTTCCCTACCCTCTGGAGTGCTCACTTCACCCCACAATTTAGTATCATCCACAAACTTGCACAGAGTACACTTCACACTCACATCCAAGTCACTGATGAAGACATTGAAGAGTACAGGTCCAACCCCGCCAAGCCAATTTGCCACCCACCGGACCGTGTAAACATGTATGTCACAGCTTCTTAATTTATTTGTGAGAATGGGATGAGATACCACATCAAAGGCCTTCCTAAAATCCAAGAAAACAACATCCACCTCTACTCCTGCGTATAAGTGTTTTGTGACCTGGTCACAAAACGAAACCAGATTGGTCAGGCATGATCTGCCTGCTACAAATCCATGCTGGTTGCCCTGCTGCATTATTTTCCTGCCGGACTCACACAAATATGATCCTTAATAATTTTTTCAAAGACCTTTCCATGGATGGAAGTGAGACTGACTGGCCTATAATTACTCAGATCCTCCTTCCTTCCCTTCCTAAAAATAGGGAGCACGTTGGCCCTTTGGTCAGGTCCCGGAGGACTGGAAGAGTGCCACAAGTGCATCTTTTGTTACAGCATCTAAGGTGCCCCAACAGTTGTAGCGGCCTCAGGACTGACTTGACTCTTATATCTATGATAATAATAATACTGGCTTGTGTAAGTATTATTACTTACAGGAAAGCCATTGAAAGGTGGCAGGAAAGTGGTGAAGGGTGACATTTCCAGTATCCCCAAAATGCATAAATTGTTTAAAACAGTGCTTCCTCTGGGGTTAATGCAATTTTTAGCCTGTAACATATTGCTTGTGACTGGAGTTTGATAGCTTCCAGGTTCACTGCTGATTTCTGGAGAGGCTGCTTTGCATATGGTATTTCTGTGAACTCTGAAATGCCTCAGAGAGCTTACAAACCTGGTGCCTTTCAGGAGAGGCATCTGGAAAAGTGATCTGACTTTTTGCCAGGGTGGTGAACACCTGCAGCTCCTAGTTATGGCACTGGGGAACAATGTCTCTGAAAATCAGACAGTTATGTGGTGCCTAAATATGGTTACAGCCTCCTGACTTCAGGCACTTGAGTGTTAAAAGGTTGGCCTTAATCAGTTTTGCTCCCTGCTTGACTTCATCAGTTGGGGGCCTACAGAGATGATCTTGGCTCATGCCAGTGAGCACCAGTAATGTAAATGTCAATAATTGGGTAAGAGCTTTGAAGAGACCCTGGGGTATTTTAAGCTGATCTGCTTTGCTTATAATGATGCTGCCTGCTCATTGAACTTATGCTGAAATTCTCCCAGACTGCATGAGGAATGGCAGTAAATGCCAGAACATTGTGCTATGAAATCAGACTGTACTTTAAGCTGCCTAAACAGGTAATGTCCTATTCTGTTTTAGAATGGTTTGGAGCTAACTTTTGTCAGGCATTCAAATGCTGACAATTAGGGCATAAAAGGAAATCATCATTCCTTGCCTGACTCTCTCTCTTTCAGGTCTTTGAATTTCTTATCCGCCTCCACTCAGCCGAGGCATCCACTGATGAAGAAGTTTATCCCTATGTTCATACACTGCTGCACTTCGACACCCGGGAGTTCCTTAACGTCCTTGCACTGGTAAGAGGCAATTCAGGCCCCAGTGGGAGAGGACAAAGCCAGTATTTCTCTTGGGCTGTCACAGGGCAACTTTTTAAAGAAAGAGACACTCTAGGTAAGCTAGAAAGTATTTGGTTTGATGCAGAAACCCCTTGGTGAAGCTCTCTGGGTGACAACAGGCATCGCTAAACAAAGCAGATCAGCTTGGGTGAGAGGCGCTGTGCCATAGCTCATCTGCTTTATTGGGTGAAATTTGTGATGCCTGTTGCCCTGCATCAGGCCCCTGCCCAGTGCAGGACAACATGCAAGGTGTTCCCCTTGTCCCTATGTCCCTCACTGCCCTGCACCTCCTTGCCAGGTCCTATGCCAGCCCCAGCCTCTGCTGGTATCCACATCAGGTCCCCTGCTGCCCTGTGCTTCACACAGAGGCACAGGTCCAGTTGGGTTCTGGGCCTCCTCACTTAGAGAGAGCCACCTGGAGATTCCCTGGGCACATCTCTGTAAGCAGGGAAAGCTGGACAGGCTCTCCTGGGAGGTGAGGGACCTGATCCTGCATGAATACTCCTGGGGTGCACAGAATTGGGCCCCTCAAGTTTCCAGATAGCGGTGAGAGAAATGCTTGCACTTAGTGTCCAGTGCACGCTGGCACCCTCCCCACTTCCACACACGTGTTGGCATTTTGTTTGTGGGAATAACACTGGAGGAGAGTCTCCAGAAACCAGTACAGAATATTATGGAACACATTCTCTCCTCTTCTGTAGACTTTTGAAGATTTCAAGAATGACAAGCAAGCAGTGGAGTATCAACAGAGAATCGTGGACATCCTGCTAAAAGTGAGTGCAACCAAGCCTTGGAGGATGTCTTCACTACAAAGTTAGCATGAGTTATAACTCAGGTTTTGCCCCTGGCTGCCTTTTCACATGTGGAAAAGCCTCTAACCAGGGCTTGAGGGTGATATAAACCCAAGCCAGCAGGTGTGGCTGAGGGTATAGGCTTGGGCTCAGGTTTCACTTCAGCAGCCTGAGCTGATAGACCACTTGCTTTGCTGTGAGCATGTAGGTTAAATTAAGCACAGGGACTGTTAGTTCTCCAGTCCTGTCTCATAACTTCACCTGGGTTGTACTTTCATGTCCAACTCCTCTTTTTTGCACTGTTCTAAAGTCCTCTTTGCCCACTCCATTCATGCTACACTTCCACAGTATTCACAGTAACTTGCCAGCCAAGCAGTCCTCCTCTTTTGCTCCCAGAAGCTAATCACCAGCCTTCTGATAAAGCTGTGCTGTTGAATCAGCAAGACCTTTAATTTGTACCATCGTACCCCCAATGACATTTTTATCGGTGGTGGACAGGAAAGAAATAGTGAGGCAGGGCTGTCTGTCCAGGGTGCTACCAGCTGACTAGGTTAGCTGACTAGTCCCTTAATGACTTTCTTGTTAAATCTCTTGCTGCCAAGTGCTGTTTGCTCTTGCCCTCAGAACTGTCAGCTCTAATAACAAGCAGCTCCACTTGGTAGCTATTTATGTAGTTTGCTTCTCTTGACACAGCTGCAGACAGCAGCTTTGTACCAGGCCAGAGAGAGAGCCCTGCACCTTGGGGATGAATAGGTAGAGCGGCCCTGTTTCATGCGCTGCTAAGAACTGTGGGATTTTCCAGCCTGGCTTGATACAGCACCACTGTGGATATGCTTACATGGGTCTGACACAGGTCAGTCTTTGCAGGGGCTGAGCAAATAAGTGCAGTTGGGTGGCCTGTTTGGGCATGTAAGTGTACTTAAGTGGCTAAGTGCTCTCTTATTCCACCTGGATCGAGTCCCTGAAAAATGGAGCAAAAGGTGGGTGGGTCTTCCTCCCCCTCGCGGCTGTTTCATGGCTCTGTCCCTTAGGTCAGATGTCAGAAGTACTATAAAGTAAATTCATTAATGGATTTTCAAGGACTTGAACAGGGTGGAACAGAATTGCACTTTGATGCCCAGCTGTCTGTGCTCAGTGCTGCACTTCATACCTTAGTGGCTGTCAGCTGGACACCCCTTCACCATGCCCCAGGTCCTTTCTCACAAACAGAACCTAGCTTGAGATTCGGCTGGCTGTATCAGGCTGTTTGCTCTGATACAAGCATTGTACTGATGCTGACACTGTCCCTGAGCCCCATCTCTTGGCATCTCTCACAGATGGCATCTGAACTGTCCTTAGTGGGGCTTGGAGACTTAATTTTTCCAGTCTTGTTGCCATCCACGTGATGAGAGTAACCCTCTAAGAATGGCTTGGAAATCTCTCTGATAGCAAGATGAGTGGGTACTGAGCCACAGGCTGGCATCGTGCTACAGGGTGCAAACCTCTAGGCATTTCAGTGGCGAATATATTGATTTTTCTAGGGTAATTCCAAATGTGAAGCACCAGTGTCCTTTTTGCCCCGCATCTGAATTAAAGATTGCAAAGCCAGGAAGCAGGTCTTGAGGGTGAAATACATTGGCTGACTATAGATCCTTCTTAATTCCTCACCTGCCAGGGGATATAAAGGGGCTTCTTGGTGAATTCCTCTCTCATGATCTGGCTTTTAACCTTATGAAGACTGCCAAGGGCAGATACAGACATAAAGGAAGTGAAGCCTCATGGTACTCCTAGCCAAAAATGACAATTGCTGCCCTCAAACCTAGCAATAGCTGCAATTCACTGGTGCTGCCCATCATGTATAAAACTTGGAGGAGTGTGAGATCCATGAGAAGAAAGAATCTGGATGAATGATGTAAGCTCAGTTAAACTGAGACTGGGCACAGGTTCATGTGTGTCCTTCATTAGACTTCAATTCTAAGCATTTAGTACAGCCTGGAAAACAGGCAGTGCAACTACTTGTTAGTGGGGCGTCTCAGCTGATAAAAGCCAGCCAAGAAGACAGAGCAGACGGTTTGAGAATCTGAGCTCTGACAGGGAATTGCTGTTCTAAATGCTAGTGCAGCTGGTATGTTTTGGGTGGAAGTCAGCCTTGCTAGTGGAAAGCCTGCCTGTCTTCAGTAATCATTTTATGTAAATTGAATGAGTAAATGACCTGAGAGATGGAGCTGTGTCAGCATTGGGGCAGAGAGATGAGAGTGAGAATAAAAGAGAGGTGGAAAATGGAGCTGGAACTGGGATGGAAGAGAATGTAAGACTACGTAGCAGGGGGGGAAGAAGGGACCCATCTAAGCCCAGCAGCAAGCAGCACAGTGTGCTGCCATTGGCTGGTATATGGAGGAGATGGATAGCTAATCTTGCAAGGAAAGGCAGCTGGAAGAAGCAGAGCAAGTCGGGGCAGCTACAAAGGTCCAGAGTTCCCAGAGCTCCGGCATCCTTTGATGCTTTATTCTTCCACTAGTGAAATGGCTCGCTGAAGTGACAGGAGTAGGACCTGAACCCTACCCAGAAGCTTTGCCATTTCAGTCACAAGCCCAGGGAAGATCAGGTTTTGACGATCCATCATGCCTGTGTGCGCCTTGGTTTCACTTCCAAAATCAAGTGCTGCGTTTTCTGCTTCTGCTGTGCAGAAAAGCTGCTCTGCAGGTGACTGGAAAATGGCAGCTTTTGGAAACTGTCTCAGAATACTTCCCATAACAGTGAATTGTTGTTTTCTCTAACATGAGTGGGTTTGAGAGAGAGTATCTAGGAGGGAGATCTTTTTCTCATAGGGGTCAGATGCTGTACACATGATGGGACAGGAATGGCCAGAACACATATGCTAACATGCAGTATCACTTCCAAGTTAATTGCACTCTTGTCTATTTTGGAAACCCGGGCATGCTTTCATATACTTCCATTAAAAAAACAAATGAAAACCCCCAAAATGGACAAATTCTTCCAGTACTAACCCCGAGTGCATGGGGCAAGTCAGGAACCATACACAATATGAAGAAAATATTCTTTCTTCCCCTTTAGATAAAAGGACTCAACTCGAGATAGAACCACCTCCCTATACATCTTGGAGTAAAAGGCAGGAGATGCTGCTTCCCCGGCTTGTACGCTGAAGATTAGAAATGTCATACTCCACCAGAGAATCTAAAATCTTTATGATTTGCAGGCAAAGGGGAAGGGCTTGGCATTCATGTCCTGCTCAGAAGTGTTGTATTTTGGAAGTGGATAAGAGAGCCGGCCTTGTTCCTTCCCCCATTTTGGAAGAATAGTTCTTAGAGCTCCACAACTGACTCGCAGGGGGGCAGGAAACCTGAGATGCAGTGCTCAAATATGCACAGCAGTCAGCAAGAGAGAAGTAAGAGGACTGCTGTGATAACAATTTCTTCCCCTACTCGGCTTCCTCCTTTAACTTCACCTCTGAGGAAGAGTAGGAACTATCTGAACCTGATGCTGTCTCAGGTGCTGAGGGGTTTGGAACATAGAACAGCTTGTGAAGGTGAACTAGCAGGTGGATCAAGAGACAAAATGTGTGTGGCAAATGTATTTGCCACATGGAAATTATTTCCGTGTGCCTTGCATGTATTTTTTTAAAGCAACAGCCAAAGGCACAACTGTTTGAAGGCAGAGAGAGAGGTACCTTCAGAAGCACAAAAAAGAACCCATCTCTTTTTAGAAATGCTCTAGTACTGTAGCAATTTGAGGTAGAAATTCTGAAATTTAGCATGATGTGCCTTAATGTTGTGGTGAAAATCCTATATGTTTAGTGATAGGTTTGGACATGATTGGTAACACTATAAAATAACCAGGCTTCTTAAGGCCTTTGTTCTAAAGGCACCCCACATGAGCAGGACAATAGTACGCACAATCAAAAGGCTGCTGAAAACTTAGCAAAGCCCGTGTTACCTTTGGTGTGTACTGAACAAGTGTTGGGTCTTGTTTTCATTCAGTGCACATTTTATCTTTTTTGGGCAAAGAGCTGTTCTGATTCTGCTTCAAAGGTGGATGATCATTGAGTTATAAACACTAGTGCAATATTTACAGAGTTAGAGAAGTTTTTAAAAAGCCTGTTAACCCCTTGTTTTGCATTAAATAACTTTGAGCTAGCTGCCTCTAAAATATTCCTTAACTTTAAGTGTCAGAATTTCTACCCAAGCATTTTTTTGAAAGGTAATGCAGTGGAAGCCAGGAAGGGAATAAAAACCTTGCTAAGCACTGTACTGATAGGCCCTAGCAAGCGCAGGTTAATATCTGCTTTACTTTGTAAGCTGTTGCTGCTGGACTCTATTAATAAATGGAGATCTGTGTTGCTGTCAGGTGCAGGCAGGCAGAAGGCAGTAAATGTGGTTTCCCTTGCTTGGGCTTTGATTGGTCTTTTTGTATGGGCAGCAAGGGAATTGGTGGCCATGTTCTGCAGGCGGTGCTCACATCCTGTCTGCAGGTGGCAGAATTGGAATGCAAAATCTGATGAGGTGGTGATTCAGATGAAGCAAGGATGCATGAAGCTCACATGTCTGATGACAGGGTCTAACTTGGCTTCAGCCAGCAGAAGCCATGTCCTGTGTGTTACATAACACAAGCTCTTGGCTTGAAGAACAGCTAGAATATTTTCCTCAAACCCCGAATAAATTTGAGAAAGGGGAAAAATAAAGATCTCTTTGTAATCTAGCATATATTTGACTAGCAAGGGATGCTTTGGAGTTGGCAGGTAACGTTGTATCCCATACCACAGCCAGCAAAACCCTTTTCTAGAAAAGGAATGCCCCAAAAAGAGGGGGTTGATATTCTTTGACCCTTACAACAAAATAAGGCTCCGTTCCTTGACAAATTCCATTACTGTCCTTTGTCTGCTCTGTACCAATGAAGGTTGCACTAGAATCTTAGAAAATGAGGGTCAGAAGGGACCTCAGGAGGTCGCATCTAGTCCAACCCCCTGCTCAAAGCAGGACCAGCTCCAGCTAGATCATCCCAGCCAATGCTTTGTCTAGTCAGGTCTTAAAGACCTCCAAGGATGGAAAGTCCACAACCTCTCTGGGTAACCTGTTCCAGTGCTTTACTACACTCCTAGTGAGAAAGTTTGTCTTTATATCTAACCTCAGCTTCCTTTGCTGCAACTTGAACCCATTGCTCCTTGTTTTGTCATCTGGTACCACTGAGAACAGTCCAGCTTCATCCGCTTTTGAACCCCCTTTCAGGGAGTTGAAGGCTACTATCAAATCCCCCCTCACTCTTCTCTAGACTAAACAAGCCCAGTTCTCTCAGCCTCTCCTCATAAGTTATGTCCCCCAGCCCCCAAACTATTTTTGTTGCCCTCTGCTGGACTCTCTCCAATTTGCCCAGATCCTTTCTATAATGGTGGGCCCAACAGTGGACACAGGACTCCGGGTGTCACCTCACCAGTGCCAATTAGAGGGGAGTAATCAGTTCCCTTGATCTGCTGGCAATGCTCCTACTAATGCAGCCCACTACACCATTAGCCTTCTTCGCAAGAAGGGCACACATCTCATGGGACTCATCTCAAACCCTGAATCTCTTTAAGGAGCAGGTCATGCCTGGCCAATGAGTGGGCATGCTAGGGTGGAAAGAGTCTGAGAAAATTTCCAGTGTTTCTCTCATGCAGGCATCTGAGTGGTCTGAAAGCAAAGATGCTCCTCTCTAATCAGACTGGAGTGCCTCTTTGGTATCCTCAGGCAGCCCAGCACCAAACAGGTGCATGCTGCCTCTAGCATAAGTCAGTCCCGTGCAGCCTGAATGTGTTCTATTAAGAGGGTCCCTGACTCAGCACTTCATACTCCTAGTGTCTGTGTATCCTATGTTATAAGCTTACCATTGTGCATATGCTAGTCTCACAAGACTTAGTGCTGTCAAGTGCACTGCTGAGGCCTGGCTGAGATTATTTTGCTGCAAGTTCTGACTGAGAAGACAGGGGTTTGGTGATACACCTGCCTAGCACAAAGCAATTAAGTCCCCTGTTCTTATTAGGGCTATCCAAGCAAAGTGTCCCATTCATTCCTGCCATTTATGGAGTCTCAGGCACCATTCATTGGTTGAGGCCCTTCTGGTCATATGTCCCTGTAACCCTCATATGATAGATGGTGGGCATGCTTATGCTCATTAGGTTCATACCCTGGCATACTGACTCTGCAACACCTACCTTGCTTGAGTTTAGAGCCACAATTGCATGGCCATGGGCTCCAGGTGCTGGGTGACCTACAGCTAGCCAAACAGGAAGAGCCTTTTCCTTTTGCACAGGGCCTGGGGGTAGCAGCCTCAATGGGGCAGAGCCCCCTGATCATCCTGGGGTCTTAACTTGATTCAGAATTAGCTGGGGCTTTACTGCTTCCTCTGTTTGTCCCAGGCACAGGTGAGTATAGGTGTGACCAGGCACTTAATGAATTGGCATGATTTTTTCTTGCCTTCACCTATGCAAGCAGGGTCCAGAATGGCCTACTGAGGAGCCCCATTAAGCATTTGGTCACCACCACATGCTCCTGTTATCTGCCAAAGCTGGGTGGAGAGATGTGAGCAGGCATGAACTCCCTATGTACCAGTTGGAGCTCCCTCATTCAAGAAGGCCTGTCTAAATCTTTCTCTTTTTATACGGCAAGCCTAGGGGCAGGGCCACTCCAGACAGGCCAAGAGCCACAGCTCCTATGCCTAGGCAGGTTTCCCACCATGTTCTGCTCCCATCTTATAACTTGGGTGGCACAAGCAGGTGGCCTCTGCCCCTAGATCCTCACTGAAGGGTCATGGGGAGGGAGAGGGATTGGTCTAGCTCCCATATCTTCCTCCTTTGTCATTCAGCAGAGGGCCAGGGAGGTGGAGTGGCTGGTGTGTATTGTGCTTTGACTGTTCTTAGCTGCCACACGGTCCTCTGTGGGCTATTGATAGCTGGTGGCAGGTAGTCCTCAGGCTGCCCTCACTTGGGCTGCAGCAGAGAACAAGGGGCTGTAATGGGTTGTCCCTCCTCAGTTCCACTTCTTCTTCTTACTTTGGGCTGCACTCGCTGGCTGCATAGAAAAGGTGTTTGGGGGGGTGGTCACCCTTTGGTTGGTGCTCTGCTTGTCAGACCCAGCGAAGGAGGAGGCGGTGGAATAACCCCTGCTTCCCTCCTCTGGGCTTCAGCAGGCACTTCTGGGGAAGCAGGGGCACCAGGGAAGTGAAAGGAGCTGCCATACTTGCTGCAGACTTATATGAGAGCTGCTTCTGTAGCTTCAGAAAAGCTGTGGGGGAAGCAGTGTCCCATTGTTGCTGTCAGAATGAGGCCAGTGTAGGTGTTGGGGAAGTGAGACACTCCCTTGCAAGTTGCAGTCAAATTCATGTTTTCCCCTTAGCACAGTCTCTGCCATTCAGAGCTGCATGTGTGGCACCTGGGCCTGATGACCCCCTCCTAAGGAGCTAAGTGCAGATGCAAATGCTCCTCTCCACCAGGTTGCTCTTCTGGTATCCCATTCTTGGGAACGGTGGCCTGTGTTCATGGGCACAGACGATGAGATCCCACTGCTTGACCAGGCTCTGCACTGAGGTATCTCCTCCCGTAAAGGCTGAGCCATGGGTGCAAATACTCCTGCTTCGCCCAGTCACAAGATACCATTGCTCAAGGCCCTTTTGGTACAGGAGTGCATGTGCAGATTGCATCCTCAGGCCCTGAAGCACACATGTGGCCTTGTTTCCCTTCAGTCAGATCCCTCTACCAAAGAGGTGATTAGAAGCAGTGTCACATCCATCACACCCCCTCAGGTAGCCCTGACTGGGTAGGCATTTCCTTTTTAAATTAGGGAAGCCACTAATTCCACGATAGACACAGAGAGATGCTCAAGCAGCTAAACCCCATCCTATTTGTCCCTTATCTCTCTGTTCCAGCCCTATGCACCTTTCTCCAGTTTTCTCTTAGATTGCTAGTCGCTCCACTTGCTGTGTGACTGGGTAATCAGGCAGCCTGGCCTTGTCATGGCTGCATTTCCGAATTGGGCAGGGAAGTGCACTGAACCAGGGGGGCCTTTTTGTTCCATCCTGCTGTCTTCTGCTTCCAAGACAAAAGCATGAATGAGCACCTGCCATAGCTTGATGTCTGAGCAGTGCCTTGCTCCCCCAGCCAGGGGATCCTGTATGTGAGTGTGCTATTCTTTAAATACTTCTCAGTTCAGCCTGGTGCACAACTAGCGTTTCATGCTGTAGCATCTAGCAGTGTTCTCTGCTTTCGTCCATCTCAAGGGTGACTGCATAATGGCTAAATCATGTTGTTTCTTTCCGCTTTTTTTTTTTAATCCTCCAACTTGCCAGGTCATGGTGGAAAATTCTGACTTCACCCCATCGCAGGTTGGGTGTCTCTTTACCTTCCTTGCTCGGCAGCTCGCCAAGCCCAACAACACGTTGTTTGTGAACAGGACACTTTTTGATCAGGTAAATATTTTGCTGCATGTGAAATGGAGGCCTCTAGAATGCAGTGCCACAAGTAAACTGCTAGCTGTGCTGTAGGTTGGCTGGATTGCACCAGCTTTTAAATGTTATAGAGGCAGTAGGAAACTGGCTGGTGGACTGGAAAAGACACGGAGGCCAGGAGCACATAGGTGCTGGATTTTTAAATGCTTTTTCCTATCTCAGCCTGCCATGATGAAGAGAAACCCATATGATTTGAGAAGAAATTGCTTTATTCTCAAGCCCCTTGAGTTGAAAAGGCAATTTGCAGTTAACATGTTTAGGTTATCTATTTCTTTATCTCTTAATTTTTTTTTCTCCTTACCCTTGAGTCTTTCATCATTATGAAATGGTGGACTCCAGCCTGTTATTTTTACAGGTATTTGTGTGCCTTAGGGTAAAGTGCAGGTATTAGGAAGGAGAGAACCGAACAGTTAATCTTGTGGTGTTGATAGCGGTCCCTTTGGCTGGATATGTATTGCACTGTAGAGCACGCAGTGTTGCCAGACTAAAAGGGCTGAGCAGATTAGTTGTGACATGCTTAAATAAACTAATTATAGTGCATACGAGTCTATGTATGTAATGAGTAAATACCTCAGTCCTGTGTTCAGTGTGCTTCTGTAAGGGTGGGCTGTAGCAATGCCTCTGCTAGGTATCTGTCTGGATGGAGTTGCTTGGGAGTAACTATACTAGTATCAACACCTGCCAGGTAGGTGAGCGAGTGGCCTGAACTGGGGGTTGCACTGATGGGTGGTGGTTGCTGTGACTCGAGATCTAAAGAGCCTGGAAGAGAAGGAGGCTGAGCAGACACCCAGCAGGAAATAAGTCATGAGCATGATCTTTTTTTCTCCTTGCTCAGGTCCTTGAATTTCTGTGCAGTCCTGATGATGATTCCCGACACTCCGAGAGACAGCAGGTAACCACCTGTAAAGGAGCGCTTCCCTGTGGGTGAAGGGCTGACCCAAGAAGTGCCAGGAAGAGAGTTAAACCTGGTTGATGGAGGCAGGCCTCAGGATGTGTTGAGGGCAGCATCTCAGAGTGGAAGCTGCCAGTATAGGAGCTGTTGTGGTGAAGAAGGAGGTGGGAGCAGGACACAGTAGGCAGCACAGAGCAAAAGTACCTGGTGACAACTGCTGTGATGTTAGTTTCTGGTGCCTGAAACCTCCCCTCTTTACCCTGAGAGACGAAGTTGCACTGCATGCCTTTCTCCTCTTCCCAGAAGAACCAAAGGTGTCAGGGCTTCTGCAGCATATATAACATTAATGGAGTCAGCATGGCATCTGCCTTGGTTTTGCCCCTGCCTCTTTCCCCACCCCACCCAAACACACCTTAGAGGACTCAGGAGTTCTGCTTATTTATCGCATGATTGACAATGTCAGGTAGAACATTTTGTGGCTCATTTGCAAAGTACTTTAATTTGAAGGTGTGATGTGTTTGGCTTGACCACTCGTATGGTTTTTAAGGTCCAAACTCCCAGCAGCTCTCATCCTGGGCCTCATTTAACCTCCCTGCTACCCCCCACAAAGGCCTGTTGCATGCAGGCATGAGGCAGTGAGCATTGTGCTAAATGGGAAGGGCCCCTGGATCAGTTTTCTAGCTGAGTTGGAAGTCGATATTTAAGGGAAACCTGTCAAGGGACAAGGTTAAAAACAGCTGTTCTGTTTCCTGAGCTCTGGAGCATGGTTACTGGATTAACTTAAGTGCACTAGAAATGGATTTAAAGTGAAATGAAGCTCTGTAACTGAAGCAAATGTCCAGACAGAGGTTTTAAACGGAGGCAATTAGCTTGCTGAAGATAAACCGATGCAGCTTTTGTGAGAGAAGCAGAGGCCTGAGATCAGTTGCCTTTGATTAATTATTTTTCTGATTTTGTGTCCTGTTTAATTATGATCCCTTTTTCACTCATTTTAGCAAGTTCTCCTCCTCCGGGGGCTTGATTCTTGTCACCTTCCTTGCAATTAACTTGGCAAGATCCAGGCTGTTTGGTTTCTTCTCCCTCTATTGAAATTTTCACACAACTCCATCTTGAGGGCATTCCATGAAAGAGGAGGCCACCCATTCCCTTTCATCCCCTCCTATGTAGAGGAAGAGGGTGGATGGCAATAAATGCCACATCTCACACTCCTTCCCCGAGGGAGTTGTAGGATAACGCAACCTTGAAATTGGGAGAGAATCAATAAACCAGAGAACTGAAAAAATTAAATGGAGGAACAGCACTCCTGTTTGACTAGGCTGTGAGCTTTTTGGTGTGGAGAGAGTTGCATTGCTCTGCACGTTTGGGTGTATGTTGGATGACACTAGCTCTGTGGCTTCTAGGTGCTAGCACATTGCTACTAATTGTTATTGAATACCTGCAGGTCTTGTTAGAACTGCTGCAGGCTGGGGGAATAGTACAGTTTGAAGAGAACCGTCTCATCCAAATGGCAGAAAAAGCTGAATTGTAAGCATTTAATTTTTTGTTGTTGTTTTGGGGTTTTTTTAATGTATGATTACCCTTGTTATTTTCAATGTCCTTTGCAGCCTTCTCCAGCTGTTCTGGTCATCAGTTTTATTCAGGCATGTTGCTTCATCTTGCAGCTGTGCTTTGACTTCCTTCCACCCCAGCATGGTTGCTTGTATTCCATGTGGTGTCAGTTTGTCTCTCTCTCAATATGCAGAACTCTTGGCAGAGGTGATATCTTTGATTAAACCAACTAAATAGTTGCAATTTTTTTTTTTATTTGCAAGTTTCGGGCTTACTCACCCTTCGTCAGGCAAAGGAGAATGCACAGATTGTAACACTTTTCCCAGGTGAAAATGAAACTTCATATTGCACAGGAGAATAAAAAGATGTTCTAGGTTCCCCTGGGTGGAAAAGTTCATTTTATGCAGATTAGGCTCAAATAAAAGTTCAAGCAGCCTGTTTACTTCTAAGTTGTCTGATGGCAAGTTGGATGCTGAATTTTTTCTTCTTTCTTTGAACTTTTATTTAAGCCTAATTTGCATAAAATGATCTTTTCCACCCAGGGGAACTTGGAGCATCTTTTTATTCTCCTGTGCAATATGAAGTTTAATTTCCACCTGGGAGAAATGTTACAATATGTGTATTCTCCTTTGCCTGAGGAAGGGCAAGTGAGCCTGAAAGTTTACAAAAAAAAGAAATGTTTTTGCAACAATTTAGTTGGTCTAATAAAAGAGATCTGCATATTTCAACACGGCTAAAACCTGTATCCCAGTCTCTCTCAAGGCATTTGTCTTTTGTAATCTGCTGTGTATTCTTTCCTCTCCCCTTACCAGCACTGTCTGCAAAGCTTTGTGAACCTTTCATTTTGGAACACATCACGTGGGGCTTGATGCATTTCATTCCCAACATGAGAACGCAAATAGCCAGGCTTCACCTGGAGGTTGTGAGCCCTGTGCCAAGTGTGCTGTAACAATCTACCCTAGGAGTAACAAAGGTGACTGCAGCATGGGTGGAAGTAAAGTGCTTCATCCTGGAGGCATTCAGGAACAGATTAGCCCCCATGTTGCTGATTATGGAAATCATCTCCTTTGGTTGCTTTATCCCTCCGGAAAGTGGTGTTTCAGTCAGTAGCTCCCCCTCTAAGTCTTTGTCTCTGACACTGTGAGCTGTAGTGCCAAACTAGGAAGAGCCAGAGGGTTGGGTGACATCACTAATCATTCAGTACTGTCTTTGAGTATCTCCCAGAAGGAATCGCCCACACCTCTGTCAGCCTTCATGAGACCTGCGGATGCATCAGTAATGCCATGTGGGTTATAGTGGCTGAGATCTCTGAGTATCTGCTTGGGTGCTTCACCTTCCTCCCTGGCCAGGGAGAGAGCAACCAGCTGGCACCAGCAGAACATTGCTTCTACCATGTCCTGATCTAGTTGTTGATTGGGGGCAGCTGGCAGGCTGATGGCTTGATTGTTTGCTTCAGTTTTGGCACTATTTTTTTTTTTAATCTTCTCTCTTCCTAACTAAAAAAAACCCAACATGTTAAACACTCAAGGCTGGTCAACAGTTATATACCAGAATGCATCGCAGTCCTCAGAGCCGATGTGTCAGTGGCTTAGCCTAGAGCTGAGTGTATGTCAGAAATAAAAAACTGCTTACCCTTTCCGTGTTGCCTGTTTATCCTATTGGAAGACTTCATGGGATAGTTGAGGTGCAGAAGGCAGCCAGAGCATGGTGTTTCCATAGTGGGGATGGCTGACAGATCTCATTCTGGGGAGCATGTCACTGGCTAAATGGAAGGAAGAAACTCAGACTGGATAGTTGTACTGGCTCCTGGTGGTAATCTGTGACAAAGGTTAGAAAGTCATCCTGAAAGAATCAGTGAGATACTCCGACAGAAGAGCTCTAAGAGAACTGTTAACTAGATGGTCACAAACTTGTCAGCAGCAGCAGGATAGAAGCAAAAGGCAGGGGAGCATCCCTGTAAAGCTGCTGTTTCCTTGTGTGCTTGCATGTCGTCCCCCCAACTTGTTCTGTAGCCAAGAAGGATGTGGCTTTAATTCGGTCACAAACCATGGAGGGAACAAGCAGGTTTTCTGGTGGCAGCCTTACTACTTGCCAAGAAACTGGGAAAATATTCCTCCAGGAGTCGTTAGACTGATTGAGTCATCTGTAAACAAAGTTAAGCTTCTAATGCCATGCCGAAAACTTCTGCTGTCTGGGCTGCATAGTCTTGTCTTACTGACTGTCAAATGAAAATTGAAGAGCAGAGCTGTTCTGATGTGGGAAATGTGTCTTTCTTTCTTTTTTTATTTCAGCTACCAAATTTGTGAGTTTATGTATGAACGGGAGCATCGCTATGACCGAATCATTGATTGTTACCTGCGTGATCCAGTGAGAAAGGTGGGTTTAGAGCAGAAGGTTTAACCTTTCTTCACTCAAGAACAGCAGGGTTTTTGGGGATTTTTTTCCCCTTCCCTCTCACCACATTCACCATGTACACAATTCCTATCTGTGCTTTTGAGAGCAGACAACACCTCACCCCCCTCTGTCACACTTCTCTGTTTTAAAACTTTTTCATCCTAGTTGATTCTTTTTTGGGGGGTTGACTGAACAATCACTACTGTAGTCATAGCCTGAATTAAGGTCCACACAGCTCCCTGCCTTCATCTGTAACTTGAACAGCAGAACATAAATCTGAGGTTGGGCTTCCTCCTGAGCCTGCCTTGTTTTGGAATTCCTCACCATGTTTCTTTTGTCTCTGACCCTATTATCCCCCTTACCAGAGGCTTTCAAATCCCCTTGTGTTTTTTTTTTGGCTGGGGTATAAATTATTGCTGCTAGGTAAGCAGCAATACCTCTGAATTTTCAGAGGTGAGGCTTTTTTATGATACCATTTTATTGGGCCAGCTGTGTAGGTGGGAGAGTTGTTAGGCAGGCTTTTGGGCATCGAGTGCCCTTCTTGAAGGCTGGTACAACAACACTCCAAATGTGGTTTGTTTTTTGTTTGTTTTTTTTTTGCTCCCTGCCCTAATGACAGAAGGACAAGGCAGAGGAGCCCTGCATCTCCCCCTCCCCCCACCTTGGGGTTTCATAGCTGATCTCACTACACTCCTAAGGCCAGGAGGTTGGAAGTTATGAGAGTGAGGGAGAAAAGTGGAAGAATTAAGAGGAGTTGGTAACAGAGATGTAACCAACAGAAGGGCTGGATGATGTGTGGAAGCGAAGGAGATGGGGTGAACTGCTGAGACCAGTGCTGGAGAGAATGTGAACGCTAATAGGGAATGGGGGGCCAGAGTGGAAGAGCTTGGAGAGGACTCGCCTTCCCTCCATAGTGCTGCTGTCTTCCCTCCTCTCCTCTGTTCTCTTGACTCCAGGGATCAAGCTCTGTCCTTGCCGTGCAGGA